AATCACAGCCCAGCAGGTAGAGATTTAATGTTGCTTTGGAACAGGGGTTGGTAAACTATGGTGTGTGGCCTAATCACTGCTTGTTTTTGTGAATAAAGTTTTATCGGAACACTGCCACACTCATTCATTTACGTATTGCCTATGGTTGTTTTCATGCTTCAAAGGCAGAGCAGAGTAGCCGGGACAGAGACTATATGGTCTGCAAAGCCTTAAATATTTACCATCTGGTCCTTTATAGAAAAGGTTTGCTGACCTCTGCTTTAGAGACATATTTGTTTGTTTATACAGCACCCCAACAATCTAGAATTATGGGAAAACTAAAAATGTACTTTATAATGATACTACTACAGATGTGGTGACCATCAGTGTGAGAATGAGTTCCAGCATACCAACATGAATACTTTCTCAGGAAAGAGAGGAGAGAGAATACTGTTTGTTAGCTTGAATGTTCTAAATGATAACATTCATATCTCTATTTACTTACTAGATTAATTGCCAACTAGCTGCTAATGTAATAAATGTGCTTTAGAAATTAGAAAGTCCACCTCTCCATTAAGTGAATTGTTAACATTAGATAAATAAGTTATTTCTTGCAAACCTAATCTATTTTATTAGATTAAAAGCAGTGCATTTTAAGTTTTAAGACCAAAGAGTTTGAGAATTGCTGTTGTAGGGTATACCAGGGGGTACTAAGTACCTTGCAAACCACAGTGAGAGAGAAATACCGCTTTTCTTTTGATAGAAATAGTCATTTTTAACTTGCCTTTCCAATGTTGTCACCAGACCAGCAGCCATTGGGACCTTGGACAACACTTGAAGCAAACATTATTGAGGGGCCCAAGGAGCTTTTGTTCATGTAGATTTTATCTATCAATATTTACCCAATATAAACTGAAAATGAAATTTAAAAAACATTCATTTGTTATATCATTTTAAAAATATAAAAAAAACAAACCCAGTACATCATAACAAAAATAGCATTTTAATGGAAGACAACTGTAAAAAATAGCCAGAAAAATGACATTCCTTTACATTTTTGAAAATCAGTTTAATAACTTAATGGCTTAATAGGAGGCAGCAGGATTCTCATATCTGTTTCTGCATTTAATCTGTTGTGATATTAGGCATCATGCCACTTACAGAAAACCATTGTACACATGTGAGAGAATTAGAGTGAAGAAAGAAAATAATATCTTAGTATTATCATGAAAACACTTTTGACCTCATGTAGTTCCCTGAAAGGGTCTTGGGACCTTGGACAACACTTGAAGGACTGCTGGACTGCTCACCTCCTTCCTCCCTGGCTTCCTATTTCCCTGAAATACATGGGAACATTACCAAGTCCTCCACATCTGGAGACCAATTCAACATGTATTCATTAACCCTTTGCCCTGAAGAAAAATTTAGATTTTAGTTAGGCAACCCAATTAAGTCCCATTCTGTCACTGGTGTGTGTGTGTGTGTGTGTGTGTGTGTGTGTGTGTGTGTGTGTGTTTATGTGTGGCCTTGGGTAAGTCATTTCACATCTCTGAACCTCAATGTTCTCATCTGTAAAAGAAGGCAGCTGCATTAGACCAGGGGTTTTATACCTGACATATTTGGATATCTAAAGGTTACCAGAATGATAACAAGGGGACTGGGGATCCTGATGTCCTATAACCATTGTCTGAATTGGATATAACATATTTTCCCCACATATTCATACTGAAAGATTTCAAATGTATATCAAAATTAGTCTCATGATGCTAATTAACAAAATTTAGAAAATTAAGACCTTTATCTCAGTCACTTTTAGTCATGATATATTTTCTTAATTAATAGATATAAGTCCAACTGCTAACACACAGGTAGCTATAATATCATCGAATGCTAAAAGCTAGAAAGAGGTCCTCCTTAATAAACTTGGAACTATTTTTCCAGCTGTGACATGAAATAATTGTACTATCTTATTCTGATTCTGATCACAAAAAAACTGTGGGGGTCCACAACAACCATGTCCACTGTCCACATGCTTTTCTATAATATGACTTTGCCACTCCCCCATCAAGGTGTGGAGTCTAACTCCCCTCTCCTTGACTCTGAGCTGGCTTTATGACTTACATGTAACTAACACAATGCAGCAGAATTGATGCTCCATGACTTCCAAGGCTAGGTCAGAACAGGCCACAGCTTCTCTGTTCTTTTGGGATGTTTTCTCTGGGAAAAGCCAGCCACTGTGTGGGAAATGTGACTAACCCAAGGCCACTGTGTAGGCACTCTGGTTGACCAACCAAGCTGAGCCCAGCCTTTCAGCCATCCCATGTGCCAGGCACGTGAGCAAAGCTAAACTGAACTCTAGAAACAAGCTCCTTCCCCAGCTGAATATCACTGAGTGACTTCTGTCAACATCATAAGAAGCAGAATTGCCCCATTGAAACTTGCCTCAATTTCTGACCCTCAAAACATGACATGTAGTAGAATAGTTAAGTCACTAGGTGTTGAGATGGTTTCCTTTGCAGCAATAGATAACCAACATTACCTATTAACCAGTATTATCAGCAGTAGTAGTATCTGAGTAAGTCATCAGACTTTGCTGAGCCTTGCTTTCCTGAAGAGGTTGTTTGAAGTGATTTCATGGTATCATCTGGTTCCTTAATGCTACTTTTCCCTTTTTCCACCTGAGACCATTTACCTTTCAGTCCAAAGAGGAACAATGGCCTCCACTTTGTGCTGAACAGGACCTACTCCTCTCTGGATTACTAAGAGAGACTGGGCAAGATACCCACATTATGAATGACCTGGAGTCTACAGCTTCGGGGCAGTGAGGCTCAGCAGTGACCAGGGCCTTGGATAATCAACCCAGACAAAGGTGAGAATGGTCGCCTAGAGCCATATTAAGTGCTGCATGAGGCTTTTTCAGCTTTGTGATCAAGTGCTGGAATGAAGGGAAACTGTTCAAACACGTCAGAGCTAATGGGCCCTCTAACAAACCCCCAAGTCCTCTTGCACTGTAACAGAAGTCAGTTAGAGGGCAGATTAGAGGTGCTTAAGAGACTATTAAGTAGAAAGAAGCCATTATTTAAGCCATTAACTGAGCAGCTTAAAACTGCTACACACTGACCCAATGGCTTATAATGGCACCAGGAAAGATACTACAAAGCAGTTTGGTGACTTATTCCAAAACTTGGGGAGATGATGGGAGAGAAAGAACATAACAGCCATCAGGAAGTGAGGATTAAAAGCTTACATCCAACTGACATCAGTGCACACCGCAGTTCCCAGCACCTAGCTCATGCTAATGGCAAAAGGTAGCAGTTCATGAAAGTTTCACACAGTCTACTCAGGATACTAAAAGAATCCAAATATAATTTATTCATAAGGATAAAGTCTTTCCTGATGTCCCCAGGCAGAATGAATTTACCTTCTCCAGACAGCGGTTATACATCACTTATCACATCCCATCATGGCTATAACATTATTTATATTATTTGTAGTTTAAATTTATGTTTCACTTAGTTAGGCAGTGAATTACAGGTTGTATCTGTGAGAATGGTTTAAAATGTCTTTACCCCACCACCTGATGCAAAACAAGCATGCCACAAAGGTTCAGTGAATGAACGATGAATGAAGAATGAATGAACAAATAAAAGAATGAATTAATGAATGCATAAATGGTCTGAGTACTGTTCATAGGTGAAAGGGAATGAGATATGCCAGGCTGTAAATGGCTGCCTAAGACTTTAGGGAACTGCCTGATACATCGTTTTACCTTTTTCAGCCTAATGCCTGTCAGCAATTGTTTGAAAACGTGGTACCACCTCCAAAAATCCCATTCTCTAGTTGTGCTCTAGGAAAATAAGAGTCCTTTGTGAATACAGTTATTAATGTGATGTGTTTTTGACCTAAGGATACAGTTAGAGGGAAATCATAAATATATGGTAAGGTTGGAAAGGATACTCCACCCCTTTTTTAAGGGGTGGAGACTGAGGAACTTTTTCTGTATATATAAGACTAACATGGCCTGTGATTGGGTGGAAGTTATCAGATATAATAGAAAGAATACAGCTGGGAGCCAGATTCCCCTAGAACTGACATGGAAATGAATCCTCCATTTTAACCATTTACTAGCAGGATATGGTAGCCAAGAAAATCACCTTATAGACCTCCCACTACAGGGAGTGTAACTGACCAAGATCCCCAGCTGCTGTGCCCTGAAATACATCCCTTATTTTACATATTTGCACTGAGGCCAGGCTCCGGGTGTCTGCATGTGTAGGGGATATTAAGGCAGGCATGCGGGACATGAAACTTTCCTGCTGGCCAATATTGACCCTTAGGACTCTCTGATGGCCTTCCTTAATCTTCCTTAGTTGAATGGCATTCCAGAATACTGCTGCCCACCCCTTTCTCCCTCTCTCCTTTACCCATGGTCAGATTTGCATTGCCATCTGCAGATTTCCTCCCTATGTTCCTAATAAAATCCTTGCATATTTAATCCTGTTTCTGGGATTATCTGGACTAACACGTGGAGTGCCCTTAGACAAGTTACTTCATCTTTGAATCTATTTCCTCATCTGCAAAACGAAGTTAATAATGCCTGCTAGGTGGGAATTGTAAGAATGATTAAATGTGATAATGCATGAAAAGCTCTTAAGCCTGTGCTTGGAAAATATAGGTGCTTCATAAATGTCACTTCTCCCTTTCATGTCATTTGTTTTCTTATGAAATGTCCCTAGCAATGGGGTTAAACCATATTTACCTGTGCACATTGACCTGGGCATTTGGGAATAAACGAAGCCTTGGTGTAACAAAATTGTCTTTTTTTAATTATAGTCCCTCCCCCTTCTCATCAACTGCTTCTCAATTTGGGGAAAGTCTTACTTTGCAGACCTTTCTGAAATCTTTGATCTGTTTAATAAGGTGGATTGGAAGGGAAAAAAAAGCTGCAGGGGGAAATCTGATTAAACTTTGCATGCTAGCTTTATTACTTCCTTCAGTAAGGTTAATGCCAAACACTTTACCTTGTCATCCAATTTCCGTGCATTGAATGCAAGTTCAACGTAGTCATCATTGCCAGATAATTCTTCTGCAATCACCTAAAGAAAAAAATTTTCAAATATTTCCAAGTGTTTTCCAGAAGCTTTTGAAGCCACTGTTCTGATCCAAGGACCCAAGATTAAGAGGAGTATTTAAATATTTAAAATGAAGAAGGAGATAAATTTTTCTGGGATGTGTGGAGAAGCAAAATCTCCAGTCTTACAGTAAAAGTGGCAAGATGAGGTAGTGTTCTTCTGGGAAAGAACAAAGGCCAAAGGCAAACCTCAAACCTGGATTCACCATCCCAAAGCTTCTCTGGGTTTGTGCACTTTGGGAGTGACTCTTTGGATCCACGGCTTAATAGAGCACCAATGGGGTCTTCAAAGACTCTTTGAACTGTTTGTATGGATTGGACATGGAAGTAAAAAAAGAAAAACCTTGATATGAATGCATCATTTAAAATATTCAAGCAACAGACTCAGGTAAGTGCTTGTGAGAGTGGTCATAACTTACAACACAGGGAATCTTTTTGCATTTTTCCCTTAAAAATGACTTTAACATTTTTTTTTTAAACGAATCGGTCACTTTCAAGTTAAAAAGGAATGTTCAAAGGACCTCAGGAGGTTTGCCACCTGGCAATTTACCCCCCTAGCAATTCAGATTTTCCTGGTACATTTTTCTACCTTTTTCACTTGTCTACACAATGATGAGGCCACTTTCTCTACCTTCCTCATGGGCTTTAAAACAAGATGCCAAAGTTTCAAGTACTGGAGTTTTACTTGAAATTTTAAGGTTTTATTTAGAAATACTTCCAGTATTGCCCAATGGAACATTATGTGATGACAGAAATGTATTGTAATCTGCACTGTTCAGTACAGTAGCTGCTAGCCACATGTAATTACTTTTTGGTTAATTTTTAAAAATTCCAATTAGTTAACATACAGTATTATAATAGTTTCAGGTGTACAATATAGTGATACAACAATTCTATTCATCACTCAGTGCTCATCATGGTAACTGTATTCTTTAATCGCCATCCCCTATTTCAGGGCCCCACCTCCCCTCTGGTAATCATCAGTTTTTTCTCTATAGTTAAGAGTCTATGCTTGGTTTGTCTCTCCTTTTTAAAAATCTTTTCCTTTGTTTGTTTTGTTTCTTAAATTCCACATATGAGTGAGATCATATGGTATTTGTCTTTCTCTGACTGGCTTATTTCACTTAGCATAATACTCTATAGCTCCATCCATGTCATTGCCAATGGCAAGATTTCATTGTTTTTTATGGCTGAATAATATTCCAGGCATGTGCGTGTGTGTGTGTGTGTGTGTGTGTGTGTATCACATCTTCTTTATCCATTCATTTATCCGTGGACCCTTGGGCTGTTTCCATAATTTCACTATTGTAAATAACGCTGCAATAAACATAGGGGTTCATGTATCCCTTCAAATTAGTGTTTTTGTATTCTTTGGGTAAATACCCAATAGTGCAATTATTGGATCATAGAGTAGTTTTTGAGGAACCGCCATACTGTTTTCCACAGTGGCTGTACCGGTTTGCATTTGCACCAACAGTGCAAGAGAGTTCCTTTTTCTCCACTTCTTCACCAACACTGGTTGTTTCATGTGTTTTTGATGTTAGCCGTTCTGACAGGTGAGGTGATATCTCATTGTAGTTTTGATTTGTATTTCCCTGATGATGAGTGACACTGAGCATCTTTTCATGTGTCTGTTGGCCATCTGTATGTCTTCTTTGGAGAAGTGTCTTCTGCCCATTTTTAATTGGATTATTTGTTTTTGGGATGTGGAGTTGTGTAAGTTCCCTATATATTTTGGATATCAACCCTTTATCAGAAATGTCATTTGCAAATATCTTCTCCCATCCAGTAGGTTGTCTTTTAGTTTTGTTGATCATTTCCTTTGCTGTGCAGAAACTTTTTATTTTGATGAAACCCCAGTAGTTTATTTTTGCTTTTGTTTCCCTTGCCTCAGGAGACATATCTAGAAAAAAGTTGCTATTGTCCAATATCAGAGAAATTACTGCCTATGCTCTTATCTAGGATTTTTACAGTTTTAGGTCTCACATTTAGGTCCTTAATCCATTTTGAGTTTATCTTTGTGCATAGTGTAAGCCAGTGGTCCAGTTTCATTCTTTTACATTTAGCCATCCAGTTTTCCCAATACCATTTGTTGAAGAGGCTGTCTTTTTCCCATTGCATATTCTTTCCTCCTGTATCAAAGATAAATTGACCATATAAATGTGGGTTTATTTCTGGGCTTTCTATTCTATTCCACTGATCTATGTAATTATTTTTGTGCCAGTCCCATATTGTTTTGATTACTACAACTTCACTATACAAATTGAAATCTGGAATTGTGATACCTCCAGCTTTGTTTTTCTTTTTCAAAGTTGTTTTGGCTATTCGGAGTCTTCTATGGTTCCATACAAGTTTTAGGATTGTCTATTCTAGTTCTGTGAAAAATGTTGTTGGTATTTTGATTAAGAAGTGCACTGAGTGTGCAGATTGCTTTGGGTAGGATGGACATTTTAACAATATTTGTTCTTCCAAACCATGAGCTTGGAGTATCTTTCCACTTGTTTGTGTCATCTTCAATATCGTTCATGATTTTCAGAGTACAGGTCCTTGGTTAAATTTTTCCTAGGTATTAATGGAATATTATGCAGCCATCAAAAGGAATGAGATCTTGCCATTTGCAACGACGTGGATGGAACTGGAGGGTGTTATGCTGAGTGAAATAAGTCAATCAGAGAAAGACATGTATCATATGATCTCATTGATATGAGGAATTCTTAATCTCAGGAAACAAACTGAGGGTTGCTGGAGTGGGGATGGGTGGGAGGGATGGGGTGGCTGGGTGATAGACATTGGGGAGAGTATGTGCTATGGTGAGCACTGTGAATTGTGCAAGACTGTTGAATCACAGATCTGTACTTCTGAAACAAATAATGCAATATATGTTAAGGAAAAAAAGAAGAAGAAGAAGATAGCAGGAGGGGAAGAATGAAGGCAGGGAAATTGGAGGGGGAGACAAACCATGAGAGATGATGGACTCTGAGAAACAAACTGAGGGTTCTAGAGGGGAGGAGGGTGGGCGGATGGGTTAGCCTGGTAATGGGTATTAAAGAGGGCATGTTCTGCATGGAGCACTGGGTGTTATGCACAAACAATGAATCATGGAACACTACATCCAAAACTAATGATGTAATGTATGGTGATTAACATAACAATAAAAATTAAAAAAAATTTTCCTAGGTATTTAATTTTCTTTGGTACAATAATAAATGAGATTGTTTTCTTAATTTCTCTTCTGTTGCTTCAGTTTTAGTATATAAAAATGCCATGGATTTTTGTATGTTGATTTTGTATCCTGCAACCCTACTAAATTCATTTATCAGTTATAGTAATTTTTTTAAAGATTTTATTTATTTATTTGACAGAGAGAGAGAGCATGCACACATAAGCAGGGGGAGTGGCAGGCAGAGGAAGAGGGAGAAGCAGGCTCCCCACCAAGCAGAGAGCCTGATGTGGGGCTCAATCCCAGCACCCTGAGATCATGACCTGAGCCAAAGGCAGATGCTTAACTGACTGAGCCACCCAGGCACCCCAGTTCTAGTAGTTTTTTGGTGGAGTGTTTAGGGTTTCTCTATATAGTATCATGTCATCTGCAAATAGGGAAAGTTTTACTTCTTCCATACCAATTTGGATGCCTTGATTCATTCCTCTTGTCTGATGATGGGGCTAGGAAGTCCAGTACTATGTCAAATAACAGTGGTGAGAGTGGACATCCCCGTCTTGTTCCTGACCTTAGAGAAAATGCTCTCAATTTTTCACCATTGAGTATAATGTTAGCTGTAGGTTTTTTGTATATTATGTGAAGTATGTTTCCTATAATCCTATTTTTTGATGGATTTTATCATGAATGGATGTTATACTTTGTCAAATGCTTTTTTGGCAGCTATCAATATGATCATATGATTTTTATCCCTTCTTTTATTGATGTGATGTATCACATTGATTTGCAAATATTGAACCATGCTTACATCTCAGAAATAAATCCCACCTGATCGTGGTGAATTTTTTAAATGTATTGTTAGATTCTGTTCGCTAGTATTTTGTTGAGGATTTTTGGCACCTACATTCATCAGAGATACTGGCTTGTAGTTCTCTTTTTTTGCAATGTCTTTCTCTGGTTTTGGTATCAGTGTAGAATGGTATTAGGAAGTTCTCCCTCCTCTTCTATTTTTTGGAATAGTTTGAGAAGAATAGGTATTAATTCTTCTTTAGATGTTTGGTAGAGTTCACCTGTGAAGTCATCTGGCCCTGGACTTTTGTTTGCTGGGAGTTTTTTCATTACTAATTCAATTTCATTGCTGATAATTGGTCTGTTCAAATTTTTTATTTCTTCCTGATTCAATTTTGGGAGCTTATATGTTTCTAGGAATTTATCCATTTCTACTAGGTTGTCCAATTTCCTGGTATAGGATTTTTCATAATATTCTCTTACAATCTTGTGTATTTCTGTGGTGTCAGTTGTTATTTCTAGTTCTTTAGATACAAGGTTGGTTGTTTATTTGGGACTTTTCTTGCTTCTTGAGGTGGGCCTATATTGCTATAAACTTCCCTCTTAGAACAGCCTTTGCTGTATCCCACAGATTTTGGACAATTGCATTTTCATTTTCATTTCTCTCCATGTATTTTTTATTTTGTTTTTGGTTTCTTGATTGGCCCATTCATTGTTTAGTAGCATGTTATTTAACCTCTGTGTATTTGTGTGCTTTCCATGTTTTTTCTTGTGGTTGATTTCCAGTTTCAGAAAAGATGCATGGTATGATGTCCATCTTTTTTAATATGTTGAGACTTGTTTTGTGGCCTAATCTGTTATCTATTCTGGAGTACGGCCCATATGCACCTGAAAAGAATGTGCATTCTGCTGTTTTAGGATGGAATGTTCTGAATATGTCTGTTAGATTCATTTGATCCAGTGTGTCATTCAAAGCCACTGTTTCCTTGTTGATTTTCTGTTTGGATGATCTATCCATTGATGTGAGTATTAAAATCCCTACTATTATTGTATTATTATTGATTAGTTCCTTTATGTTATTAACTGCTTTATGTATCTGGGTGCTCCCATCTTGGGTGCATACATATTTACAATTCTTATATCTTCCTGTTGGATTGTACTGTTTATGATTATATAGTGTCTCTCTTTGTCCCTTGTTACAGCTTTTGTTTTAATGTCTGTTTTGTCCAATATAAGTATTGTCACTTTGGCTTTCATTTTACTTTCATTTGAATGATAAATGTTTCTCTATCCTTTCACTTTCAGTCTGTATGTGTCTTTAGATCTGAAATAATTTTCTTACAGGCAGCCTATAGATGACTCTATTTTTTTTAAATCTACTCCATCACCCTATGTCTTTTGATTGGAGCATTTAGTCCATTTACATTCAAAGTAATTATTGATATGTGTGTATTTATTGCCATTTTGTTACTTATTTTATGGTTGTTTTTGTAGTTCTCTGTTCCTTTCTTCTCTTGAAGAAAGTTGGCTTTCTTTAGTAAAATATTTGGATTCTTTACTCTTTATTTTATGCATATCTATTACTGTTTTTTGATTTTTGGTTACCATTCAGTTTATATATAATGTCTTCTGCTTATAGCAGTCTATGTTAAGCTGACGGTTGCTTAATTTTGAACTCATTCTTTACTTCTCTCCCGTTTATGTTTCAGATATTTGGTATCACATTTTACATCCTTTTATTTTGCGCTTCTCTTGACTGATATTTGAGGATACATTTATTTATTTATTTATTTATTTTTGCTTTTGTGCTTCCTATATTTCTCACTCTTACTTGTGGTATTTGTTTTCTACTCACACAGTCCCCCTTAACGTTTTTTGTAAGGCTGGTTTAGTGGTCATGAATTCTTTTAATTTTTGTTTATCTGGGAAACTATTTCTCCTATTCTGAATGATAGCCTTGCTGGATAGAGTATTCTTGGCTGCAAATTTTTCCCTTTCAGCACTTTGAATATATTGTGCCACTCTCTACTGGCCTGCAAAGTTTCTGCTGGAAAATCAGCCGATAGCCTTATGGAGTTTCCTTTGTATGTAACTGCCTAGTTTTCTCTTGCAACCTTTAACATTCCTTCTTTATCATTATGTTTTGTCATTTAATTACTAAGTGTCTTGGTGTGGACCTCCTTGGGTTGTTTGTTGGGGGATTTCTGTGCTTTCTGAATCTGGATCTCTGTTTCCTCCCCACATTCATAGCCACATGTAACTACTGAACACTTGATATATGGCTAGTGTAAGGTATGGGGATATTTTCTTTTATTTAATTTTGAATAATTTTATTTAAGTTTAAATAATCACATGTGGGTAGTGGCTACTAAATACAATAACATAACTCCAAACTAGTATATTAAAGAGGAGAGTTAAATGCTGAGCTATCTGGTCCTTAGGAAACAAAACTAACCTTGGACTAACTGCTATTAGAGCAGATTTTTAATTCTCAAAAAAATGAGAGGCAGGGATAGATAGCTTGATGATTTGAAATTTTACATTCTTAATGTTCTCGGCAACTCCATCTTTGTCGCCCACTAAAACCTACATATTAACTGCAGAAGTGCTTAGTAGAAGTGAATGGCCTCACTTTCAAATTCTTTTTCTATCCCTTTTCCCTAGGGGTAGAAGGGTCAAAATTGTATTGGCAAAAAGGAAAAAGGAACAAGAAGGGAAGGAGTAATTTGGATAGCTAAGCAGTTGTGGCATCAACGCCCAATAGTTAGAGGGTTTGCTTCCTACTGTAAGGTTTGGACCAGCTGCTCCATCTGGGCATCTGGACAGAGGGCTGCTAAGGAAGGGCTTACCGTGATGGAGGATTTCCCTGCTGTGTTTCCATGCTTCAACAAGGATTTAGACAGTTTTCTCTGGGAAACAATCTGCACAAAAGGAAACAAAAAGTGGAGATACTAGTTATATGATTGTAGATCTACTTCTTAATTTTTTCTTTACAAAATTCTGCATTCACAACTCTACTTGAAATTATAACACTATGTCTATTTATTTTCTAAGGTTTTTTTCCATGAAACTCTCCTAAATACAGGTTATTCCCTTCTTTATTCTTATGACCTGTGATGTAAGAGAGTGAGGGCATGAGAAATTATAGATGAGTCAGTCAATTAGGAGGTGACTCAATCTGAAGCATTTACAACAAATTAGATAGAAAATGTTGGATATGTACCTTCTGATAAAACAGATAAAGTTTCAGAATGATGTCAAATTAGCCCTAAAACCTCTGTGCAAAGTGGGGGTGGGCTACAGGAAGGAAAAGAAACCCAAGGTCTAAATATACACTTTATATATCTATAATCTCTAGAGTTCTGTTTTTAACATATTCATTAGGGAGCTATAAAGTCAGTCATTAGAAAACTGTTGCCCAGACAAGCAAAAAGGAGTAATTGGGGTCCTCTTCATGATTCAGTGTCAATGCACAACAAGCAATGACAACTAAAGTTGCTATTATATTGGGAGCTATTCTTAGCAGAACTTGCCCCACCCCGCTCTTCCTTCCCATTTTTGAAAGAAATGTATGACAAGGTATTGGAGCCTTGATGGATATGGAATCCATGATTCTCAAAGGAGAAAAGATTTAATCAAATGACAGCTGTGCTCTTGCTGAGGGAGAACAAAGTCATACCTTGCAGTAGACAGCTTCTATATAGGATGGCTCTCAATGGTCCTATTCATGCCATTGTGCAATTCTCTCTCCTTGAGTGTAGGATGGACCTAATAACTTGCTTCTAATGAATAGAATACCACAAAAATGATGAAGTATCCCTTCTGAGATTAGGTTACAAAACGAATGTAACTTCCTTCTTGATCACCATCTTATTCTTCTCTCTCAGAGCCCTTGTGCTGAAGGGAGCAAGTTGCAATGTTGTGAGTAGCCCTATATAGCAGCTCAGGTAACAATATCCATATGATTTACAGACTAGGAAAGGAGATCACTGTAAAAAGCAGGGATACAAACCCATTCTCTGACATCCTTATATCTCTCTGTCTCTGTGTTAGAGCAATGTAAATATTTTGACTATGCTAGTGTCAAATGCAAAAAGTTCATAGAACTTTCCTAGGCCAAGCAGATTTAAAGATCCTGATGCTCAACTGGCTGTGATCTGAAGAGAAAAGAGTATTTCTGTAAGAAATCACCTGGTGATGGATGATGATAGTGATGACAATGAAGATAATGACAATAATGACAGCAATGGAAACTCCCATTTAAGGAGTACACATTCCCAAAATATTTACTTAACCTTCATTGTTCCAGCCTCAATGTTGGGCACTAAGAATAGAGTGGTAAGCAAAGTCAGATGCAATATCTGACCTAATGGAACTTACATTCTGTGGCAGAGAAAGGCATTAACCAAATGGTCAAATAAACCAATATAACTCAGCACAAAAGAGAGATGCATTGGCTGTGGTGGGAACAATAAGTGGATAGGTGGTGGGGTGTATGAGAGTAGACCACTTCAGAATCTTTTGCAGCAGTCCAGGCAAGAGGTAGTGATGGTCGTGGAAATGGAGGGAAGAGGAAGGAATTTGGAAATGGATTAAAAATGAAGAGAGCAGGAGGTATGATAAATGATAAATGCATCATTGGATCAGATGGTTGTGCCATTCATTGAGATAAGGGACACTGAAAGAGGACATTAAATTTGGGGAGCAAAGAACACATATTCAGGTTTGGGGCAGAAAGCAGATTGGAGTAGGTTGAAGAAGAGAGAAAGAGGGAAGGACACAGAGCAAACACAAGAAGACAATTATTTCAATAAGTTTGGCTATAAAATGAGGTAGAGAGAATAGAATCTGAAGGAAATGAGAAATTGAGTAAAGTTGTTGTTTTAGTGGTCACTTTATTGCTAATTTTATTTCCCCACAAATTTGGTATTGTTAATTTCCTTTTATAGATGACAGAAATAGGACACAGAGATTTTAAGTAACTTTTCCAAAGCCCCAAGGCTAAGAGGAAGTGGCAGAGATTTGAACATGGGTCTGACTCCAGAAACTGATCTCCGGCTACATTTGATAGGTATATGAACTCATGAAAGAGATTCAGAAAATTTTCACTGCTGGATTTGGACTCTATGTGTTTGCTTTTAAGCCCTGGATCTTACGTTTGTGTGCTTAACCCTCAATATGTAAATATGAAGAAGACTGAAAAGAAATGATCAAGTTAAACCTCAAGAATGGAGTAATCTGAAGACACTGGCTTTGGTTAAGGGCAGTGTAGCATAATGATTAAGAACATAGTTTTTTTTTTTTTTATTCACAGCTGGCTATCAATAAAATGACATGAAAAAATTTCAGATGATAAAGGAATTTGCGTCCCTTCCTATAGTTACGTCTGAATCTAAATTACTCATATTTCCCACCCTACTCATTAAGAAGGTTCAAGTGGTTCTTCTCCTGTAGTCAGAATCATTATCCCCTCTCCCTTCCCATTCACAGATTAACACAGGTTTTAGAAAAGCTACCATTTCCTAGAAAAATGTAGACATCATTCTTGAACTTGAGATGAACCAAAACACAGAGGAAACACAGGAAACAAACAGGAAAGGGACATTAGGAAGACTTTATAGTCTCTCTCCAGGGGTTTTCAGCACGGAGGAATAGGGAAAACACATGAATCAATGACAAAACAAGGGTCACTGGTAAGCAGCATCCAGGCCAACATCTGACTAAAGAAAGGCAACATATCCTGTTTCCCAAATAAATTTGGCCTCAGAAATACCATTGTCCATTGTCATTGCTTCATCCACATGGGTGTCCTACCCCTATGGCTTCAAGTGACCCCAACCATCCTCTCAGCATTGTAAAAATCCACTGGATTACCAGGTGTGGGTATGGGTACACTGTCTTTACAGACTGTGTCTTCCAAGATCCACATTTTCATTCTTCAAGCAAGACCAAGGGAAACTTAACTTACAAGATGTTGGATGGTCACATTCTCTTTCCTCACTCTTATCTAGAAATGCCAACATTCCCATTTGTTGGGTGTGAGGAGAATGCTATTATGTTCCAACTCCTATCTTTTGCTAATGCTAGGAAGATAAGCAATCTCCCCAGAAATATTCCTGTTTAATAAGTGAGCATTTGGGTATACAAATGACTAATTAAGCAGGCAATCAAACAAACTTATTTTACAGCTTCCAGGCCTCCATCTCATCTCCAAAGAATGAATAATAATTAGGGTTTCAAGCTTTTCATTGTAATAAAGATCAACAAACAATGATGTTGCCATTCTTAGGGCTGTTGGGCAAAAGTGGTGGGGATGGCCAGCTGGGCCAGTGATCTATAGGGAAAAGGCTATTTGTTGCAAATCTCACTTGTCATGTAGGCTTTCTTGCAGCTGAAGCAACTACATCAGGCTCAGGAAGGCCTTAGGTCTTGTCAGAGGACATTTGAGGCAAAAACCAAAACAAAACAAAACAAAAAACAAAACAAACCAGCCAGCACTGCCTGGCAAGAGGATACACTTGTTAGAAGTCCTCTAATTCAAGTAACATGCCTGATAGAGAATTTAAAGCAATGATCATAAGGATTACTCATTGGACTTGAGAAAAGAGTGGAAGGCATGAGTGAGACCCTTAACACAGAGATAAGGAATAACATTACAAAGATAAAGTGCTCAATAAATGAAATGAGAAACATGCTTGATGGAATTAAGAGCAGGATAGAAGAAGCAGAGGAATGAATTAGTGACCTAGAAGACAGAGTAATGGAAAGTAATCACACTAAAGAAAAGAGAGAGAAAAGAATTATACAAAATGAGAACAGACTTAGAGAACTCAGTGATTCCATCAAATGTAATAACATTCATATTCTAGGAGTCCCAGAAGGAGAAGATAGAGAAAAGGGGCCAAAAAATTTATTTGGAGAAACAATAGCTGAAAACTTCCCTAATCTGGGGAAGGAAACAGATATACAGATTCAAGAGGCACAGAGAACTCCCACAAAAAAACAACAAAAGTAGACCCACACCAAGACATATTGTAATTAAATTTACAAAATGTAGTGATAAAGAAAAAAATTTAAAAGCAGCAAGACTACAGAAGTCAGTAGCTTGCAAGGGAAAACACATAAGGCTAGTAGGATATTTTTCAACAGAAATTTTGCAAGCCAGAAGACAGTGGCATGATATATTCGAAGTGTTGAATGGGAAAAATCTGCAGCCAAGAATACTCTATCCATTAAGACTATCATTCAGAATAGAAGGAGAAATAAAGAGTTTCCCAGAAAAACAAAAACTAAAGGAATTCATGACCACTAAACCAGCTCTACAAGAAACATTAAAGGGGACTCTTTGAGTGGAAAGAGAAAAAAAAGTGACAGTATAAAGACAGGAAACATAAAAGCAGTAAAAATGAATATTTCTGTAAAACATATCAGTCAAGGAACTCACAAAAAAAGGATATAAAATATAATAACATATATCTAAAATGTGGGGAGGAGAGGAGAAAAAATGGGTTCAAACTTAAACAACCATCAACCTAATATAGACTGCTATTTGCAGAAAAGGTTATATACAAACATAATGGTAACCATATATCAAAAACCACTAATAAATATTCAAAGAATAAAGAGAAAGAAATCCAAGTATATCACTAAAGAAAATCAGCAAAACATGAAAGAGAGACAAGAAAGGACCAGAGTAAATCTTCAGAAACAACCACAAAACAAGTAATAAAATGGCAATAACTACATATCTATCAATTATTACTTTGAACGTAAATGGACTAAACACACCAATCAAAAGACATAGGGTGACAGAATGGATAAAAAATAAGCCCATCTATATGCTGCCCACCAGAGACTCATTTTAGACTTAAAGATAGAAGTTCTCTAATTTGATTCTAATTTGATTTCTACCCTACAGTGG